AATTTTTCAGAGACGACTGTACGATATTTTTACGGTCTGTTCCTTTATATTCATGATTCCCTGCAACTCTTCACTGGGGGTTTTCTTTGCCAAATCATGAAATAAGCTGCAGTAAAAACCAATGTTAAAGAAAGAAGACTTGAATTACCCTTGAAATCTTTATATTTTAATAGTTTCCGATCGTTTACAGTCTCATCCTTTGAATGCAACCCTGTACTTGAGGGTTACTTAAAAAGTGTTAAACTCCAAGATTAAAGAAACCAGAGGCCGAATTTAAACCGCGTCGCTGAACCGCCTATTACCGGTTCCAATACTGAAACACTGAATACAATTTGAAGCGAAACCAACCATGTTTGAGTCGGGGCTCAAATTCTTTAGATTCGGTCTCTTGATATTTCTAATTCCTGGTATCCTTGCTCACCACCTCCCTCATAGTCTCAAACTACCCACACAATAGATACTCAAGGTTATCAGTATCATTATTATTAGCAATATCTTGGTTTATTGGTCCAATGTTAATTGTTTATTAATAATTCTCCATGTCAATGGTTATCATTGTCATTATTATCATGGTCATTGTCATTATTGTCATTGTCGTTGTCGTTGTCATTATCTTTGTCACTGTCATTATCGTTGTTAATATTAATATCATTGTATTTATCATTAATATTATCAACATCATTACCATTTTCAAAATCAATTTCATTGTCAATATTATTACAAAAATTTAAATATCATTATCATTATTGATATCTTTACAGGACCATTATTATTATCTTTATCATTAAAGGGACAGTAAAGGAAAAATGAAAGGGGGTATAGGCTGAAAGCTAATCACTTTAGCTCTTGATTGCGACCCATGAAAGTTTTATCTGATGTTCCTGTATCGAGAAACTGATATAAAACTGTGTTAAAATTATACAAAAATTCATATATGTAAAATTTTGAAAATCTGAAACTTAAATCACGTGACCAGAACTATCACCAATGGCAGAGCAGTATACTGGTCACGTGTCTCCGCCTGTATCACGTGACCACTTTACTGCACTGCCTATGGTGGAATTTCTGGTCAAGTAATACGGACGTAAAAATAATATTATGAATGAAATCTATTGAAAATAGAAACAACAAATATAAAAGTAAACCTAAATTACAATTAGCTTTCTCTGGGATATCATCGTTTTCAGATTGGTTGCTTATTTGCTCAATATGATCTGTTTAAACCTACTACTACTTTTATACAAAATTGTATATATATTAATTTTTATATAGATTTGATACAGTTTTATATCAATTTCTCGAGACAGGAACATCAGATATGACTTTCATGGGTCGAGATCGAGAGCTAAAGTGATTAGCTTTCAGCCTATACCCCCTTTCATTTTTCCTTTACTGTCCCTTTAATATCATTATTATGATTATCATTAATATTATTACTATCATTATCATTAATATTATTATCATCATTATCATTATCATAAACATGATTATTATTATTATCATTAATATTATTATTACTGTTATCCTTCTTCAAAATAAATTCATATTTTTGAAAAATAAGATATAAGAAAAGGGTCAAAGAAATATTTTTTTGGTCAAATAATCTGGGTGATTTCAGGGGGAACAAGGCAATAATTGTTTACTAACAGGCATTTTTAGGACTTGTCACTCTGAAATCTATTTTTTCCCCCACCGTTCAGGCTAAAACGCAACATTGCAAGCAGGGGCGGATACAGGATTTAAGTGAGGGGGTGCTAGATATATTTCGGAACAAAAACATCCAGATTTAGGAACAAAATGATTGTTTAAATTCTATAAAATAATTTAGTAAAGTTCTGGAGATTCTTCACAGTGAAGACCTCGTGGTAGCTCAGGGGCATCTCCACTCTGCTCTACACCTTCTACATCAAGTACTTGGAATAATAAATTTAACATTTCAAATTTTTCATTTAAAAACGTAGTAACTGCCGCAAGACTCAAATGCTGTAGCATGGAAGACCGTACGGTTGTGGCTGATTGTTGCCGGAAACAAAAAAAGATAATATGTGGCATGGAAGGGGAAAATGTTGTGGTTTATGGCCGCCTGCATTCCCCCGCTCGTGCTGCAGACCATTTCACTTAAATAAGTGATTTTTTAATAAAATATGTAATTTGTAAAAGATTGAAAAAAAATTAAATATTGTTTTATGTCGTCGTCCTATTCCAATTTTTGGTTAAAGCTGTGGCATAAATCATTAGAATTCACTTTGGCATTGTTATACACGACTATATATGTTTTTGGCGTGCTACAACTTAAAAGGAAAAGAGTTACTCAACGATTAACTTTATTTAAAATCCTAATCTATATAGTAAAAATATCTGAATAGTTAACACATGTTTTAAATCAGCTGATCGGGAAACGCCTCCTTGGATTTCTAGAAAGTTATTCAGGAAGACGATATTCATATCCGCCACATGTTCAACAATCATCTAGTCTTGTAAAATTACTCAATCAATCAATCAATCAATCAAAATACTCATTACATCAGGGAACTCGGGATGCGAAATTAGAGACGACTGTCCGGAATTAATTCCGCCCTTTTTACTCAAATCAATGGTTCTGTACAACTGTAAACTTGTTTCTTTCTTTGACAAACCGTTGAAAATACTATGCAATAGGGTGGATATAAGACATATTTAACCCTAGTAGCTTATTATAATATATAAAGAGCTTTATGTCGTCATTAAAAGTGTATTGATTTCCCTTGGAATGACCGGTTTCAAACTACTCTCCATATATAAACTGTGTTTTCTTTAATTCTTTATTCAGATGATGTTAAACTTGGTAGAAGAGTTTGGATGTTTAACTGAAATAGATTGAAGTATTATAGCAACAATATAACATTGATAAGAACAATTTTTATAATGATTTCATATAATTACTTACACGAATGTCATCTATTAAGAAAGAAATCAAAGTAAGTTTACATCAGCGTCCATGGTTGGTTTAAGCCTTACTGAAGCTATACTCAGGATCCAGGCATACATACGTGCGTGCGCGCAGCAATTGTACATATTATGTATAGTAAAATGGGAATAGATCAAATGCCTAATTTCAAAACAAAAAGTACCATCCTTTGTGGGTAACCCTGTATAAGATTTATTTTTAGGACTCAGCAGTGTGTTTGAGTAGTTTAATCCTGTAACGGGACCGAGGCGTACAGTAGAGCAAGGATATGTATGTACTTAGCATGGAGTTGGGTGTACAATGTATGCATTGGAAACCCAGCTTTCTTCAATTCAAGGACAAAGTTTATCACTTTTAAGACCAGTATAAAAAATATTTCTTTTGATTTGGCAATTTATTAGACAAATATACTCCCTTTCAATGTTGCGTTTTGGCCCGAACGGTGGGGAAATAAAAAAGTTTCTGAGTGACAAGCCCTAAAAATACCTTTTAACAGGCAGCAGGCTAATCAGTTTTACTCGCCAATGCCGCAATGAATTATAAAACAGAGAGATCCAGTTCTGGCCGCGGCGCTCGGCCCAGAAAGTGTTTTACTCTAAACTTAACCTAGTCCTAAAATTTAATCTCGCTCTACTTATAATTCATTGCGCCATTCCCAAGGCCAAATTTAAAAAATTTGAGCGGCGGCTTAAATTTAAACCGCAGCTCAAATATGGTTGATTCCACTTTTAATTTATCAAGTTTTTCAAGATTTAAGCTTACTCTCAATTGAAACCGGTTTTTGGGTGATTTGAGACGCGGCTTAAATTCGGACACCGGAAACAGAGTTTGGCCGCTACCTGTTCTTATTTTTTACAATTTTACAATTTTACAATTTTTCCTTTTTCCCCTCAAATCGTTTATACTGGAATTTAATGAAATTATTAAATAAAATATTTGAAATAAAAGTGCGATAACCGTTTATATGGTTTAAATTATTGACTTCACTGATCTTTTTTGCACTTCATATAAAACGAAATTTTTGCCCGAAGACTCACGACCATTTATTAAGTTGGAATTTGCATGAAAAATGTAAACTTAAGTAATGAGAGATTTAAAAAAAGAGATAGATTTAGTTTCAAAACTGCACCTGAAATGTTTCTGAAAAAGTTAAAGAACTACGCACCAACTTAAAAAAATAAGTAGTCGTTTTCTTTTTTAAATCCGACATTTACAACAGATTCGATGTTACAATACATTTTGTATACATATAGCGCAATTGAACGTTAGTCCAAATGAACTTTTCTCTGCACCAACATTTATATTCAAATGGGCTAATTTTATTCTAGGAAATAAGTGCTATTGGATGTTGGTCCTAATAAATCATTTTTAGTAATAAATTTGTTCAATTGGACAAGTTTAGCGAACATTTGACAAAATTATCAGGCTTTAGTTTAAATTAACATTTAGTTTTAAAATGTGTTCGTTTTTTTTAGTAGATTTGGCACAATGATTAAAATTTAATCCTTATTTTAATTAAAAATTTTTGATTCATTTGTTCTAAATTTTGTTTATTTGATCTATTCAGAATTTCTCAATTTATTAAATTTCTGAATTAAAATTTTACTTTTCCACTTATTAACACATTTTGTCACGAACCAATCGTCTAGCATTATCCGATGTGTCCCAAATGTTTAATTAGAGCCATCCACGATCCAGTTTGATGTGGGACACAGTTTACAAAGTAAATCTTGGTCCATGTAACAAGAACAATATATTTTCAAGTGAGAATGATCCCTTAAACTTTAATTTTCACATTCTTCTTTAAGAAGATATCTATAAATTATTCTTTAAGAAGATATGTATCTATAAATTATTCTTTAAGAAGATATGTATCTATAAATTATTCTTTAAGAAGATATGTGTATCTATACTAAGGACTGCGCAGAAGGTTACAAAAGAGGTTACAAGCTCCAGTGTGCAACCCGATATACCGGGAAAATTCCAGCCCAAGATAAGAAGATCCAAAGAGATAAAAAAATAAAAAATAAAAAATAAAAAATAAAAACATCAATAAGTGTGAACATTTATATTTTTAAAAAATTGTAAAATACAATGTTCGATTGAGTGAAGAGCAGAGTCGATATCAACATAACTCGAAAGATCGATTAATCAAAAAGACCGAATCCCATATCATCATCTTCCTCCTCCTCCTCCTCCTCAACCTTCTTGGCGGCGGGAGCGGCCGCACCACCGGCGGCGGCGGCGGCAGGAGCTAAAAAATCAAATACTACATTTTAGTTTTAAACAAATTATTTATTTTATATGATTTGGAATAGAATTAAATAGTCATTTTTGAACAAAATCCAACGACTCCATTAAAAACTGGTCTAAATATAAAATGCTAATCTCAATTGATCTCTCAAATTATTAACGAAAAAAATAATGTAAAAAAGTTGAGAAAATGAATGAGCTTAGAAGAGGCAATTAGTTGAACAGGTGGTTAAAGTAGTTATTAAAGCAACTAATAAATCTACTCCACAAGATTCTAGTCAAATATTTAACATCCAAGGTACGTTGCTCAACTAACAATTAAAATACAAGAGAAAAAAACGGATTTAATTAAATATAAAAGTTAAAAAGGGACTGTAGAATAATTACTAGAGAGCCGTGTTAACAACGGTACATCTTAAACCTTTTGTTCGGTTCGTTTTGATCAAGCTTGAGAAGATTGGCGTATATTTTTCAGACGAACAGATTAGATGATTTTGAAAAAAAAATGAAAAATTGTTTTTTTTATTCTTTCGATACTTCCCCCCCCCCCTCCCCAGAACCTATTGATTTATCCCTAAATGTTATTTAATTTCCCAAACTCCGCGAAAAAAACTAAAAAAATATACACCCCTGGGTATAGGTGAGAAAGTCTTTTTTTTTTTAACCAAAATATATTCCTTAAAACGGTGACATCTTCGTTTTTGTTTGATGGGTCCAGTTGTAAATCGGACCGGCATCTCTTTCAATTTACAAAGACTTCAAAAACCTGAGGGGTTTGTTAATTTCAAAAATGTTTATTTTTCGTTAGTTTTTCAAGGCCAAATCAAGAACTTTTGGAAAATAGTTTTAATTAATATCTTTAGTTAAAGTAACATCTGTGCAAACAGAGTAATTAAGTAAATACAGGGTGATAACTGTTGTGGTTGATTTGGTTCTTTTTAATTTATCAATTTTTAATTAAATTTAATATTGAGAAATATTTTATCAAATTAAAACTTTACGCTTTGATAAAATAATATAGAATACTGGATAGTACGGATACTTCGTTCGGACAGTTGACTTTTGTAACTTTACAATTTTTAAACCATTGTGTTTTTGATATTTACCATTTCCAAAGATATTAAAGTTTCCTGAGCCCCCCCCCCAAAAAAAAAAATAGGAAATTTATAGTCATCGAATCGAAAATAACCAAATATGTTTTAACTAACCTGCGGCAGCGGGGGCTCCGCCACCTCCGGAGGGAACGGAGGAGATCTTTTTCTTTCCCTCAGCGGTCAGCTCCTCAAGGTTCTTGCCGGCCAATTCCGCAACAACCTTGCTCACCTAGTAAATATTAATTCATTAAATATAAAAAAATACAAAGTTAAGTGATTGAAAATTTTTTTTTTTAAATCCTCTAAAACTGAAGATCCAAAACTCCAAAATGTTGCAGGTCCTAAGCACTGATTTTTTCTTTAATTAAAAGGAATAAAAATCCGACCTATGCCTGGGCCAACGAAAGATTTTTATCTCTAGGTTTAACCGTTCAAACATTGAGATCAAACAAAACCGTCAGGTTCGGATACAGGAGGGGGGGGGGCAAGGGGTCGAATACCCCCTTTTGAAAACTGTAACTGTAACTTTAAGGTGCTTTAACAAAACCTTTCGCAATTCATTGATAAGTTTTACTTAATTCACAAATCCGATAGATTTTAAGCTTTAACCAAGCGATAGTAGAGCCGGTGTGTGAAATTTTGTGATATTTTTCAGACGAAAAATAGTATTCTACTTGGAGTTCTAATTCACAGACATTTCACTAGAAGGGGATCATTCATTTGACGTACTATCCTGTTTTGCCTTATATAGTCTGTATTTGTACTGGTACAGCTTGTTCTGGCCCGGTACATAAAATGAACTGAGGTGTACGTGCTGAACTGGCATGTTTTTAAATATGCAATTTTTATAAATATTAAAATTAAAATGTTTGAAACTGCAGGTTTACAGAATATAAAAAAATCGAAAATTGACCGATTTAAAGCAAAAAACATATTTTTGAGTACTACAAAAATTTAGATGGAGAAAAAACTTTTTGACCATATGCTTGCCAAATTTTCAATATTTTTTAACTCCGGTTATCTCTCAATTTTTTTGTTACTTATTTCAAAATGCTTTTAAAATTTGATTTTCACTTATATTAGTGATTTTTATAATCATTTTTATCTTTGAATCTAATGTGAGGGAGCAAATGCTAGTATTATATAAAAGTGTTTTTTTTTCTAGAATGAGATATCCACGACTTACTTTACTTGCAATCTTTTTTAATGTCAATTTTTTTCTTGCCTACATGCCTGAGTGAAAATTGAAAAATNTTGAACCAGCCTGTATACAAGCAAGGACCTAGATAAAGGTTTATTGAACCACCTGTATACAAGCAAGGACCAAGATAAAGGTTTATTGAACCAGCCTGTATACAAGCAAGGACCAAGGATCCGGATCCGGATCCAGATCCGTATCAGGATCCGGATCCATCATCACGGATGCGGATCCGCGGATCCGGATCAAAATGATATGGATCCGAAACACTGCCCAAATCTAAACTTAAAGAGATTATAAAAATTTCCTGATTTCTGAATGGTCAAGTTTAGCTTAAAAATCAGCGAAAAAAATAAGACAAAATTTGAAAATACTGAAATAACGTGGATCCGGATCAAAATTAAATGGATCCTAAGCACTGCTTTCAATTCAAGGTACCATTTAAACCATCGTCTGGAGGCATGTGATGGAAAAAAATCACGTTTTTCATTGAGAAAAATAATTTTCAAATCTCGTTCCTTTACTTGTGTAAACTGATCGAATTATGCAGCCGAGACTAGAAAGGAATAACGACGATTCCGGATTTAATGATTACGAAGATTTTTAATGGTAAATTTCGAGTTGAAAAATCAATCTTGAAATGTTCTCCATAAATTTTATCAGTTCTGTAACGAAAATCGAAGAATTAAAACTAGATAAATAAAAGATTGAGAGAAATTTCGGAATAAAAGATCCAGCAGGACAAGTCGAAGATTTGCAGGAGTGTTTGTTTTTCCCAGGGGGAGGGGAAAATTATTTCATATTATTAGAAGATAAAAATGGGACATCATTCTTCTGGATACTTTAAATTGGTTTTCCCTTTCAGCGAAAAAAAAAAACATTTTTGTTTAACGCTTCGAGCAAACATTGTTTCGTCCGAGGGAAAAAATTATTTCCAAGGAAAATCTTCACCCCCTGGAAGATTGTTAAAAATAGATAATAGATAGAAAAAATCGACGAAGTCTGATAAATAGAAGATCTGACGAAAATTGAGGAATCAAAGATCGACCGAAAACTAAGGAATGAAAGATCGACGAGACAAGAGAAATAGAAGATTAATGAAAATATATCAAGTGCAGATCAACAGAAGATAGACGAAAATCGAGCAGAGTTTCGATGATACAAGAATTTAAAAAAAATCAGTGATACCGCAAAAAATAGGCGATCAATGTTGTTAATTTATAATTAAAGAAGATCAATGTAAATACTAAATAGATAATTAGAAAAGATCAATGTTGATAGATAATTAGAGAAGACCAGTGTTACTAAATAATTATAGAAGATCAAGGTTAATAGATTAAATAGTTAGAGAAGATCAATGTTAATAAATAATTAAGAGAAGATCAATGTTAATGAATAATTAAAGAAGATCAATGGTAATAAACAGAAGATCAATGCTAACCGATAATTAGAGAAGACCGATTAAAAAGGAAATTCGAGATGACCAATGTTAAAAAATAATTCAAGAAGATCAATGTTACCACATAATTAGAGAAGAACAATTAACAAGGAAATTAGAGAAGATCAATGTTAATAGATTATTCCAGAAGATAAAGGTTAATAGATAATTATAGAAGATCAATGTTAATAGATAATTGTAGAAGAATAAGGTTAATAGATAATTATAGAAGATTAAGGTTAATAGATAATTATATAAAATCAATGTTAATAGATAATTATAGAAGATCAAAGTTAATAGATAATTCGAGAAGATCAAGGTTAATGATAATAAGAAAAGATCAATGTTAATAGATAATTAGAGAAGATCAAGGTTAATAGATAATTAGAGAAGATCAAGGTTAATAGATAATTAGAGAAGAACAAGGTTAATAGATAATTAGAGAATATCAATGTTAATAGATAATTATAGAAGATAAAGGTTAATAGATAATTAGAGAAGATCAATGTTAATAGATAATTAGAGAAGATCAA